GGGGGGGGCAGGAGGAGGGGAGGCCTGCTTCATCATTAATAGCTCCCAAAGGTGCTGCCTACAACTGTGGCCACCTGTCTTCCATATGCACTCAGTCCCATCAAGTCTTCAGTAGATACTTAAAAAGTAACAGAGTAAAGCCTTAAATTAAATCGAAGACACAGTACCCACCCCTCTGTTTCCTTTTCACAAGGATCTAACACGGACATTTTTGACATAGCTTGCATATGAAATCTCAAAGTGCCATCTTTCAAACTTGGCACTCTCCTAGAGACCCGTCCTTCTGTCCAGAACAGTAATTCCACATTTCCATCTTGGTCATTATTTCAGCAGCTGTCAGTGCCAGAAGCATTTGTTTAAAGTGTTTTGCTCCCCTAAGATTATAGATCAGCCATCCATTTTTAAGATGGGAAAATTTTAAGCATAAAAAAGTACTTTTTAGTTCACAAATTATCACCCTTTCTAACCAATGCAAATTTCATTCTGCTAAAGCTACAAACTTTCTGTACTTTTTAACCTATTCTTTTGGAAGATCTAGTTTTCCCAAAATACCACACATTTCCTACAGCAATCACAGCAGCTCTCCTTTATCCTTCAGGCACAAGTGCTCCTTACACCTCATCACTACTACTCAGCCTTTAGGCAAAAGGATTGTATGTTGGACCGGAACCAGGATGAGAATTGTAGTCTAACTGAAGAAGTCTTCACACTTCATTGCTGTCACAATGCTATTAATAGCTCCACTAGCTTATTAACTGTGAAGTTACTGTTTTGTTCAAGTTTAGCACAGGCTAGGCATCTCCACAGGATACTGCCGTGAAGGTAAGAAAATTCCCCTGATCATTCCTAAAAACATTTACATGTTATATTATAAGTAACAGACAGCTGTAGGCAATATGACAGCTTCCAAGCTGATATGCAAAATTCTTACCAGTAAATTGTGTAAGCCTCTGCTTGAGCTGGGTCTTGAATATTTGGTTCGTTTAGAAGTTCTTGTATTCCTAACAAGATCTGTGGAAGAGGAATAGAAGTAACAGGCATGGATATTACCAAGAGACATTCAATTACAAAAACCCTTAGAAACCAACTGTAGAAACACACAGTGAACATGTTACATTCACATCAGGTAAGCAAGCAAAGCAAATAAAAGGGCTAAGAACACGTCTAAGTACAATTAATGACCTGTTTAATTGTGATTGCTGGCCTCCAGTCCTTATCCTCCTCTAAGATGGAGAGACACACTGTGCCTGAAGGATACACGTTTGGGTGGAATAATGGTGGTTCAAATTTACCTGATGAAGAAGAGAGAATTACTTGCATGCAGTGCTAAGACTAAGATCAGAGAGTTGGTTTAGCTCAGGGGGGAAGAAAAAAAAAAAGGCCAAAGACACCCCCCCTACACACACACCCCCCCCAAACCCCACAAAGAGTTCTGGAGCTATTAATACTGGTTTTCTTCTTGGCTCAGCCTACACCTAAAACAGGAACTCATCGCATCTGTGGTATCAATCCAGGCAATGCAACACTATCATTGTAATCTTTTGGTTTAGGAATGGAAACTTACAAAATAGTTTGTAGTAGCTTTGTGATAGAACTTTTTAAACCAATCCTGTCTTTGCAGTTTCATATACTACTACATAAAGGAAAGCTACAGCCCCTTACTTCTCTCTCCTCACTTTAAAATAATGGAAGTTCCATACAAAGATGACTAAGTTTCTAGCATTTTTTCAGCTTCGTTTTTCTCTTCTGTATAATCAAGAGGCACTGAACAAGAGGAACCAAGTTTAAGTTGCAAGACTGAAAGAGTAGGCTTGTGCTGCTCTCCTTCTGCCACGCAATCTATATTCTGGCATTTCTTTAATCTTTACAGGACTTAAATGCAACAGCCACCATCTTGAGTAACGTAATGAACACTTGTTTACCAATATATGAAATATCTACATGTTAGTGCAGTTTTCTAATCCATCTGACATCACAAGTCTTACTTATGAGCTCCTCAATGAAGTTCAGTAGGAACTCAGAAGCTGCATTGGTAAGAAATCTTACCAGCCACATACACATCTTATTTTAAGGCGTAACAGTTCATTTAACACTTGCAGGAAGTGCTAGTTGGTAGCTCTCAAGGTATTAATGTTAAATATTTTCTAGTCAAAAAGATACGTTTCCCCTTGTGTCACATGTATTCAGGTGGTAACAAACAAAAGGAGTAGCCAAGACAACCAATAGAGCTCAAACACCAAGATGAAATAAGAAATAAAACTGCTGTCGAGAGGAGCAATTTGTAATCACTGTCATTGATTTGAAATGGTAGCCAATTCAAGAACCAAGAAATCAGGCAAGGCAATAGCTACTTTAGAAATCCAAAAACATCTAAGTTTGAGATGGGATAAGGAAAATTCAAAAACTTAACAAGGAAACTAGGTATCTGAAATACCTGTTGTACACAGTATCAGAAAAAGAATAGATCCATGGTTTAGAGCAAGTCAATGGAAAGGTTAAAGTTGATGGAACTTTTTTTACTTTTTTTTTTTTTTTCCTAAGTTCTTGCCTTCTGAGTTCTTGGCTTAGAAGACCAGCTCAAAGCTATTTGGTCTAACCATGCCTAGCTATTAGTTTCCAAAGAGTGCTGATCAAGTAGTGAACGCTTCAAGTGGTGCTTTTGTCAAACTTTGAGGAAACCCACACAGCAATCCACCTCCCCTCCCAATTTTGTTATATTGAGCTCAACTCATTTCATCACAACTTTCTAAATACAAAGTGGTGGGTGGGGAAAAAAGAAAAAAAAGCAACTTTCCTTTAAAAAAGTCTGTAACAAAGTAATAACCTTTCCTAGTACCTCATGGACTAGTTTAACATTGTTCTAATAAACTCGTGTTTTTTTAGTTATTTTACTTACATTTTGGGGGCGAAGAAGGGTAGTCATCCTTGAAAAGCATGCGTAGTTTAAATAAGCCTCCTTCCCATGGTGTCTATAAAAAGTGAAGGTAGAGTTTAGATAACAGCAAAGAAAAGTCAAACTTGTGGAACAAAGCTTATCAAGAATTCAGTTTCTCAGGCAAAGCACAAGATATCTTTCTGCTACACAGTAGAAGATAGCTGTCCTACACTGTAACATGCTGTCTAGACTGAGACAAGTTATCCTACCTGTATAAGGAGTTGAAGAAAGAAAATCCTGCTTTTCTACTTCATTACAGCTAGTAAGTGTTGCTGGGTAATCAACAGTCAGTATCATCACTGACAGTTCCATATACAAGTAAAATTTTCATGTGCATAGAAGAACACCTCTAAAGTTTTACACCATGCACATGCAGTGAGGAAGAGGCCATTATACCCCCACTTGAAGATAGGATATGGATATACCCCTTAAGCATGTGGAGGTAAATGTTTTCTATTTTACCTCATGAGGATGTGGCTAAGAAAACCACAAAAGAACAAAAAATTTGGACAGCACTGTAGTACTACTTTTTGTGTAACAGGAATTCTAAGAAGCTTTTTATCCCCATCAGAAACTAGGAAGAGCACTGGTAAGAGCAGTTCCCATGCTATAGAACAGACCAAATAAGACAGCACTACTCAAAAGGGTCACATAAACAAGAAAAAATATCTAGCAAAAGACAAAAAGCCTGTCTCAACATATACTTCCCCGTCATCTTACTTGGAAATAAGGAAAAAAGCCCATCTTCTGACAAACTGATTTCTGGTAAGATGTGCAGAAATACAGAAAAGTTTATTATATGTGTAAAATTCAGACCACTTCTCTGTAACTTGCCCTTGCTATGGAAACGCTGCAATGAAAGCATTGGGTTCATTCTTTAAAACAAACTGGAGTAAAGACAGTCTCACATCTTATCAGCTTTAAGTGATCAAATCTTATCCTCAGGGAAAAACAGGTATGTTTGAAGACCATCTTAGGAGGAGATCTCTAATTCTTTCCTACCTGAATTATGGTATTTTTAGCAGAAGGAAAAGAAAAACCCACCAAAAAACACAGCCCCAAAAAAAGCACTCCATTGTCATTAGTATTTATTGTGCAAAGTCTCAAGCTAGAATAGGAAAGAAACATACTACAGAACACTAAGATAGTCATGTTTTAAAAAGCAAATGGGTTTGATTATATTTGCTATAGTGTATTTAAAAAAACCACTTGTTCTCAACCGCTGCAGTCAGTTGTCAACAAGAAATATCTAGTCTCCATACCTTCTCAGAGGAGACAAACTTGTCCATTTTTAGAAGAGAAGAGCCTTTTGATAGAATAAACTTTTCCTATTTTGTTTGCTTTCACTCGTAGGGGAAGACAAATAGCTTTTAATAATTTCTTCAAGTAGAACACCAGAACAGTCAACAAAAAGTTTTTACTGTCTGACAGAGCAACATACCTTAAGGATGAGAGATAGCAGACACTCAAAAGCCTTACTAAGATAATAGTATGACAGCAGTTATCATCAAGATCATATTGCATTACTGGATAGGCTGCAGATGTTCTTCAAGTCAAATTCTAATTTGCTGTCAAAAAAGCGAATGGAGATATCCAACCCAGGATTAACACCACTTCAATTTTTGATCTGGCTGACAAGAAAACACTTTGTTGGTTTCACCTACTCATCTGTCCCAGGGGAAACAGCTGCAGCACAGCGTGCCTTCAAACACAAAGGAATAGAGAGCAACTGGTTGGTCTGGTAGAGATGAGCAAGGCATGCTGCTTCTTGTTAAAGAGATGGCATCTTTACTCGAGTGAAAACCTCAATTTTTTTAAAATACATTTCTACCAGGAATCACATGAGCATAACTGATCTTTTCCTGGTGTAATGCATTTTCTAGGAGGATTTAAGGGTCTTGTTTACTCCATTTTGTAGTTTACAAAACTTTAAAGGAAGTATTTTGAAGATTTTGTTTGACATGAAGATTTTACATCAGTATTTAAAGGTGACATCTTGATAAGGTACATAACTCACTATTATGAGGGATAATCTTGTTTTGGCAGAACACAAGAGGATGCGTTTTTCCTTACACTGTTACATTATTTTTAAGTGCTTCTTTAAGAACTAACATGAGGTGTGTGGACAACTACCAAAGCACTGAGCTAACTTATAACCATAACAGCAATGCCATGTTGAGCATCAAACTGAGGCAGTAGTACAGAATCTGCAGGTTTTGCCTACATACTTTGTCCTCTCAGAATCTAAGAAATGAGATCTTAAGGGGACTTAAGCAAGTTGGGAAGAGGCAGTAGAACAGGCAGAGCAATAAAAGTCCTACATCCAATGCAAAACGCTAAAGACCCAAAAGAATGAAACCCACCCTGTAATTCATAGTATTATCTCCAAAGAAACAACTGCATCCAATGAATTCAAGAATAATCTCTAGATGCTAACATCTCAGAAAATAGAAACAAGATTCTGCTCAGAATGAGACATTATAATGGCAGTGTAGAAAAATCAAGTAAGTTTCATGCATTAATGATTATTTCCACTTGAAAGTTTGCATTTGTCCTATCCCCTAGACCCAGATCAAGCTGATAAAAATAAACAATTCTAGTCTCTACAGACTTTTTCCTTTCTCTTGTTATTTTAAGGAAAGGGATACAGAAGTACAAGTGAAGTCAGATAAAAAGAAACAATGTTAGAGTTTTCTATTCTTTTCTCCCTAATAGAGAAAAAGAAAATTCCATAAAATGAAGGCAATGAGATTCCACGTTGAATTATTTGCCATGAAATAAGAAAATAAAACTAATGCTACAGCACTTCTCTAGCACTGAAGGGTGTCACTATTTTGTGGACAAAAATGGTACCAGCAGTTAACCAGCAGAGGCAACATTTTGGTAGTATTAATATTCAAGCTTTGGGGCTTAAACCAGCATTTAGTAAGAAAAGAAGTAACAATAAACCCTGGCATGAAGCAGAAGACAGCCTCAAGTTTGTTCAATGCAGGATTCTTACAGACTCCTCTAAAACCTTTTATTCTTAAGGTGGTCAGTGCCAACAATTGAACATGGTTTATTTTGTCCAATATCATTCTTAGCCCACTCCACCCAGACTCTAAAGTAGCAACAGGATCCAAGCATTTCTATTAAAATACATCTAAGTTATACTCTCAATTGTCAGTGTAATACGTGAGCAGGCTTACGTTACTTTTCACCACAAGTGAGATGTTAGGACAACATTAAGTCTTACCCCTTTCTTTCCTGGAATAGCACACTCCCAGTTCATTAGATTCATCGTGCCATCTGGATTTTTTGTAGGTACTGCTACAAATCCCTGAATTAAGGCAAAAAGTCAAAGGGTGAGGATTTCAGAAGATGTACTTAGAATACTTCATGTCATGTTTTATCTTTACACAGAGTTATTTCTTTTTGCACTACATAGTTTTAAGCAGCCTTTTTATTGAAAAAATTTCATTTTTAAAAAAATCATCACATCAGGGTAGAGAAAAAGTCATCAGAGCACCAAAATAGCTGCAGAGTCGGAAATTTGACATTTCTCATACTTACAAATGGATGATCTTTTCTCCAGGCTTTTCTCTCCTGTGCAAGTCTGCTAAGAGCTATGCCAGACATATTCAGAGTCCCTCTAAAACAAAAATAATTACTTTTAAGATAAACTTTTACTTATAGTGTAAACAAGACATTGTAATAACTGTTTAAGCCCCGCTCACTCAGGAAATATTTTGGCCTCTGATTTTCACTACTACACCCAAGACACGTATTTTTGCACACCCTGCAAAAATTCACATCAGGAATAAGTTTCCCCATGTCAACCACCTCTTAGTTACTGGACTTGACCTACAAAATACTATACCCACCTTCTGTTTTATATTTGAACCACATCTTAAAAACTATTTCAACAGCGGCTTGACAACAGAAACACTATTAGTAATGGGAAAAGTGCTCAGACTTCCTGCTTGTGCGACTGATAAACACATATTTATCTCCTTACTACACCACGAAATGCATGGCTTTCTTCTGCAGGTAAACACCTGTACTGCTCCTGTTTCTGGCAAACGGGAATAAGAAATGTTATTTTTAAACTGTAAATTCCTGTTGAAAGCCAGTATTCCACACAAAAGCAATACGGGCATAGAACTTAAAAAAAATCACCTCAGCTTTGCAGTGATGCCTCTATACAAGTTCTAGACAGCAGCAGGAACAGACAGCAATACAGAACTGAGCTAAGGAACAGCCAGCGGCCTGCTCATTCCACAAGGCAGATTTTCAATTCCAGTACACACTGAATGATCTTTCTGCACTTTCACTGCCTTAGTAACAACCAAGCAATGGCGACAGACTGCAGAAAAAACACGCAGAGCACAGGTCGCTACTGCGTATGACACAAGAACAGTTCCAGACACCACTGTTTGAAAGCAACAGAGGGGTGCTTTCAAACTCAGGGGAGGATTCTCCATTCAACCCAGAACAGCAATCCAAGCAAGAGTTTGTTTTTCATTGCTAAACTGTATCTAAACTCAGGGTTTCAATAGCCGCCTGGTCAAAACAAACTCCAATGAAGGTTTTTAATCCTCCTCCCTATGAACTTCTAGCCATTTTACATCAGAGCAGATACTTGGCAGTTGGGGAAGTCAGACCAATTTGTTCTCAACTCCACATGTAGCTAACAAGCCTTTATGACAGCCAGGAGAGTAGACTTCTTCCACTAAAACTCACAGAATTAATGAAAGAAGGATTAACACTATCGAAACAAACATTTAAACACTGGTTGAGAATTAGGCAAAATTCACATTCTATTAATATATAGATTACTTGCAAGAGTATTGCATTCTGCTACTATAACCATATGAATTGTAGCTCACAAAGATCCATGTTTTAAAAATCTCACATGTTCACGCTCTGCCCTTCAGCATGATGTTCATGAAGAGATTTACCAGGCACTGACCTAGTCCATGCAAGATATGTAAATATGTTCATCTCATATTCATCTGCTATACCCTTTAAAGATTACAAGACAGCACGCTTCCAATTTAAGCATTTACGCATCATGAAAAATGGCTTAGCAGTGTAGCCACCTTAAAAGTCTTTAAAAGCACCAGATTAAGAGTTTTATGCAGTTCCCACGACAGCTGGTATTTCAAATTCCTCCTTTTAGCTTTTTTTCAAAGTTGATTTTGCATGGATGGCCATAATCCATAATTTCAACTTCAAACTAGTAATTAAATTTGTGACAGATAAAGCTTTTTAAAAAGGGACCATTAACACTCAGTAAACACACACAAATATTCAATTCAATATTCCTCTAGTATTCCCAACACATTCACCTGTATCTTGGTTATGTCAGAAGATTTGCAGGACTTAGTCAACACAAATTGTACATACCACTTCAGATTTTAGTTTGTTCACATGCAGGAGATGTGGAGCCACTGAAGAGACACTGTCAGAACAGAAAACCCCTCTCCCTTAACCTAATTATACTGGGAGTAATTTTAAATATTTTGTGAGCCTATGCCCTTGTAACAGATGTAAATGAACTACTGAATACACAGCAGAATTTCAGTTGTGCTGTTAGTACCTGGTGGTCCACTGCAATAATACTAACCTTCCCATAGTAATTTATGAAAATTATTTATGCTGACTAAACTAAGAATATTTGAAGGGTTTATAACCCAGCTACCTTTTCTGCCAAGAAATATTACATGATGCTTTCAAATACATGAATTGTATTTCCTGTGGCTAACAGCCAATCAATTACATGCCCCCCCAAGGGAAATGCCAGCTTCTCAGAGGGCATATAAACAATGTACATTCTACAGAACATTGCTAATCAACTTTTCAACAGAAGAAATCCAATTTTTCAGGCTCTATCTTGCTTGCTTTTGCAACTGGTTATGCGCTATACTGTGCCTTAGTAAATTAAAGATTTTCTTATGCTCTATAAATACCTTTTCAAATTGTGAGGCATTTGGCTTAATTAAGCACTGATTGACTACATCCAAAGTTTCAGTGTATATGAGACCACAGGCTTCACATATATGGTCTCCACAGGCTTTGGTTACCCTGACAAAGGCAGATAAGCATCTAAAACCTCATGACAAACTACCACCAAGTAGAGATTAGAGACAAAGACGACTGAAAGTCCACTGCAAAAATTAAGATCCTGTTAGGTAAGCATCCCCTCAAAAGCAAATTAATCTATTAACGAATTGCCAATATATACTCTCTAGCAGCTCTTCAGTAAAAGAATTTAACTTTAGTTCTGCTGGAACTTGAGATAGATCATCTCACTATATATTTTAGTCTCAGAAATTATGGAGTAGCAAGAAGGAATGAGATACTAAGTGGGTATTAAACCTGAAGATATGATATTCTTCTCACTGCTACTTTTATTTTCTTCAACAGTTTGTGTGCATGGTTAGTTTGTTTGGGTTTTTTCCCTTCTCTCTCCTTTGGAACAGTGGTTTGCCCAAATATCTGTATGTTAAGTTTAGCTCTTGTCAGCTTTTGAAATACCTTACAAATGCAAGACACAGCTATTTACCTGAAATAGTTAAAACTGCAAACACCACACCTCCCCCCCAACAAAACCACACAAACAAAACCCAAACCCCCATTTCTTAGGGTTTTCTCTTTTTATAAAATATCAGATCTAGTTTGCTCTCTCCACCTGAGAAATTTACTGCTAATGAACAGAATTGAAGTCCCAACATATTTACGCACTATATCACTGGAAGAACACAAACTTTTGCACCACAGGAAGTATATCAACCCTACCTTGCAGGCGTCAAACAAGCTTAAGAGACCAGTCTTCACATTTTGTTTGGTTTGAATCCCCCCAAACACACCCCAGCATTAAGAGGTAGTAACATTTTACTGCTATCAGCTCATTAGAAAATTAACAGAAACTTCCAAGTTTGCTCAGTAGTCTGCCTCTGCTGCTGTTACTACTACTTATTTTGGAAAAAAAGGACAAAACACCACCAACGCATTGATCATAGGCACAAACTCTGTGCAGACTAGCGTGTTCCATTACAGATTATATTACCTATCTATAACCTCTGACTGGGGCGGGGGGGAGGAGGGAACCTACTTCCAAACACAAAAATCAAGTCTTGCAAAGAAGTGTTCCGTGCCACAGGAACAGCAATCACACCCACAGCTCTGATCCATGCCAAATCTCTAAATACATCAGCAACATGCTCTTTAAGTCTCAAGAACTTTCAATAGCCCTTATTAAATTCAAACAGCAAGAAAAAAAAAATCGTTAAGACTGCTAGCCTCACATTTTTACTTTGCAAGTTGAATACTAACACAAGAAGAAATTATCAGTTGGAGTGGCTTGCCCCAAAACTATACACACTTTACTTTTCAGAAGGGCTGAGGTTTAATCAAAGCACGCTAACTCGGGGCTGGAATAGAAAGTCTCCTCCTGCCTGCGGCATGAAAAAGGCAGAAGAGGCGGTACTAGCCGAACAGCTACCAGAGTCGCAAGGAGAACAACAAAAGGAGCCGCGCGGCAATAGGTCTCGGAGCCCGACCGGCCAAGGAACTTCGCCCGG